CAGAGAGTCTCCCACCTCCAAGGAGGAAATTTCTGCAATTCCCAGAATCCTTAGGGGAAGGCCATGCCCACACAGAGATCTCGTTAGCCATGTCCTGATTAACACCCTAGACTCCATCCCTACACTCTTTTTTTCCTCAGTTTCTGGAAAGGCTTTATTATTATTTGGGGGGGGGTGTTTGCGGACACAGCACTCAGTCCTTCTCAGCAGTGGCCTTCCTCACGGCAGCCAGCACGTTGCTCAGCTCCTCTCTCTTCCTCTTGGCCCGGATGTGTGTGCCCACCCCATTCTTGATGAACTTCAGTGCCTGCTTGTCCTTGGAGACCTTGAGCAGCTCCATGGCCCTTCGCTCATAGGGTGCAAAGCCACACACCTCCCGGGTCATGTCCCGCACAAACTTGCTGTGTGCTCATGTCCTTGGTCACCTTGCGGCCCTTGTCGAGACCCACGGCCATAGGGTAGCGCACAGCCATGGCTGCTACTCTTTGATGGCTGCCGTGGTGGAAGAGACCCCTACACTTTTAATCCTCAAATTGACACTAGAGTATGTAACTACCACACCCCTTCTCTGGGAACTGCCTCCAATACACAGAGAGGGATGCCCAGAAGTCAGGCCCGTGTTACACAGCAGGTGGGCTGCTCAGCCAAACCCAAGGAGAGCAGGGGTAGAGAACTGGCCCAGTCTAGACCCATCCGATTTTACCTCCTCGAATGTGGAATTTGAGAGGGCTAGAGAGACGCTGGGGGCGGTGTCTGTCCCTCTAGGATTACCATGGCAGAGCAGCTCCTGCCTTCAAGACCTCTGGAATTGTTCTAGAACCCATTCTTCTAGACGCTTTTTAAACCTTCTCCCTAGATTCTAAAAGATATCCCAGCATCCTTTAAAAAACACAATAAAATGAAGCATGAGTCAGATTTGGTTTTTGTCACTTGCTACAAGAATAATCTTAACAAAACAATACATTTGTCTCCAAAGTCTTAAAAAAAAAAAAAGTCAGACAGGCATTAAGGTCTCCAGTTTATAGGTTGAGCTACTGCGGCGCAGAGAATCTTATTTGTCCAAGATCGCCAAGCACAAGCTTGACAGAAGTGGAAGTAGAAATGGTAGCTGCTGGTTCCTAAAATAGTTCCTTTTCCTCTCTATCCAGCTTCAAATAGCTCAAACCCTCACCAGGACAACTGAGCCGTGTTTTCATGAGTTCAGCCCACTATGAGCTCTTTCAGCATTTCTCATCATGCAGGGAAGAGTCTTTCTGAAACAGTCTCAGCCGTTTCCTGTCTCGCCGCTCAAATAATACAGTGTCGCCTCAGTGCGGAGCACGTCCTTTAACTGTAGTCCAAGAAGCAACCGAGCGGGAAGGCGGTGCCAAAGCCCCAGCAGGCAGAACGCGCGTGGTGGCCTGGCTGGCAAAGAAGAGATCTGTCTGAATTAAAATTCTATTTCAGCTGGTCTTGGGGCCTATGTCTATTGCTGTGTCACTAAAACTATCTCCTTGGACCCTCTGCCACCTTGTACGATGCCCTGGCATAGCCAGGAGGGCGTCTCCAGCTTGCTGTGTGAGGCTCCCTGTCCAGTGGTCTAGTGTGTCTTCTCTCAACCCCGTCTACCACATCCTCCAAGATTTGGATCAGGCGCTCTACCTGGATGGATTACTTTCACTCAAATCCTGTCATTCGTTGACTTTCTGTCCTACTAACGTTCTTTAAGCTTTAGTTTATATTTTATCAAGAGACACAACAGATGTCTTTTAACAGCTTTTCTGAGGCATGACAAGCATAATAAACGGCAAATATTTGATGATGACTTTTGGCATATGTTTCTATCTATGAAACAATCATTACAACCAAGTTAATGAGCACAGCCAACTGGGTGATGGCTTCTTTGTCTCTGGAGTTTCCATTCCCAGGCCACTGGTTAGAATTATTAGCCAGTTCATAATAGAGTGAATGGATAAGTTGGTGGCAGAGTGTGGCTGGAGCAAGTAAGAACAGGACAAATGGCAATAATGAAAAGACTACAATCGTGTTTCTTCAATGCTGAGCATGTGCTAGGTACCCCTGCTACATGCTTTGCATTTGTTTCTTACTTAATTCTTTGTGCAGTAGACATTGCTATTGTTAGTATTTTATGAAGAAACGGAGGTATTGAAAAGTTATATCACTTCCCAGGCACCTGACTAGAAAGACGCACAACTAGGACTTGAACCTAGGCATTTTAGTCTAGAATCTGCCTTAAAATTTTTCAGGAATTAATGAAAATGTAGCATTAGCCTTACCGAGAAAATGAAATTTGACTCCTCCCCTTTCTATGTCCTTGATTCATTTTCAAGGGCGACCCTAGAAGTTCTCCTGCACGCAGAAGTTCTGATATGGGAAGGGGCGAAGGGAATTGACAACATAGGCGCAGCCTACTTATTGGCCTAGAGATTGAACTTGTGGGGTCCCAGTGATTTTTGATAAGGTCTCAATACTTACATGGAGGGCACGAACGATGTCTGTGATGTGGCTTTGGATAAATGATTCTGTGGGTTCATCATAAAGTAAAGCTCCGCTGAGAGATGATAAAGATCTTAGGAAAGTCAACTTCTCAAATTCACTGGGAATCTGTGATAAAATAACACAATTATACAATATAGCCCTGCTTCATAATTAAAAGAGGCTTTTGAAAAACACCATAGGATACTTTGGGCCTTTAGCATTTTCTTTAGTCTAATACCAATCTTTTAGTATAAAGTGTGAATGAATGAGAGAAGTTCAGTCAAATGCCTTGCCTGCTGGCCCGGCCTTGGTTTGGGAATCTCATTGGCCTCCCATTTGGCTCCAGGATGGCGTTCCTAGCCTCCCCTGTACAGTGTTGCCTAATTACTTAAAGGTGGCTGAATGGATGAGCTTGAATTGCGGTGTTGGTGACTGATATATTGAAAGCACCATCGACAGCCAAAAGGACCAACAGGTCTGTCTCGGAAGAAGTGCGGCCAGAGGGCTCCTGAGAGGCGAGAATGACAGAACTTCGCTCTACCTACTTTGGACACATTGTCAAGGGAAACCAGTCCTTGGCTGGTAAAGCATCATGCTTGGGAAAGCAGAGGGGCAGCGATACAGAGGAAGGCCCTCGGCGAGATGGATGGACACAGTGTCTGTAACAAGGAGCTCAAGCCCAGGAACAACTGGGCGGGTGGCACGGGACAGGGCGGTGTCTCGTTCTGTTGCGTACAGGTCACTGTGGACTGGCACCGACTTGATGGCAACAAACAACAACAAAGGTAGCTGCTGATGCTGTTGTTTGTTGGCTCTCTTGATGCCAGGAAAAGTCACTATTTTGAGTCTCTAAGGTTTTCTAGTTCTGCTTAGAAGAATAAAATCTTCAGTGTATTAATACTTCTTTCATATTTTAATACTTATACAGTAGATCATAGGAAGTTTAAAAAAATAAGTTGTGTAGTTCACAACCTTGAGACAACATCTTCCCGTCTTTTTTCTCCCAATGCATGTAGATGGTGCCCCCTTGGTACAAGTCCTCCGAGAGCAAGCAGCAGTACCTACCTAGCAAGAAGCTGCCTCTCTCTTGCCTGGAGTAGCAATCCATATTGGCTTCCCCTGAACTGACTTTGGCCATTTCCGATACATGTCCCCAGCTATCAGCAGATTCATCTTTCTAAAATGCAAAATCTTAAAATCTCTGAATAGCTCTCACAAAGGTCAAGGTCCTTCCCAATGTGACCCCACCCGATTTCTTCAAATTCATCTCATCTTGCCCAGTGGCATTCTGAGCTCTTGCCAAATTAACTTTCATACTTGTGAGCATTGCCCTAACCTTCAGCTGCCCTTTCCTGTGTCAGGCCCCAGTACTGGCTGACTTCTCTTGCTAACTCAATTCTTCATACTCTGTAAGGCTTGGCTAAGGCTTTTCTCCTTTGAGACAGCCTTCCTGAGAGTTTGCAGCAGTCAGCTGGCCCTGCTAACTGGCTGCATAAACCACAGGAGCCGGTTGTGACCATGGTGTTTATAATACCCTGCCGTGATTACTCTCCATTCATCCAGTTCCCTGGCGGGCTGTGGATTCAGGTAAGGCAGCAGCCCAAGCCTGTCACTTATTTACAAAGACATTTGTCTATGAAGCCCTGCTGACAGGAAGTAAAAAGAACAGCCCAAGTCAAAAGTGAAGACCAACATGCTGGCTGTAGATAGTTTGGTGTTATTTTTTTTAAAAGTGGTACTTTTCATTGGCATACCGATACACTCATGACATACAATTGACACACACACAGACTTGTCACACACTAGAAACACTCCTGTATCCAGCATGGAAAGAACATCGCTACCCGTTTTCCCCACCAGAAGCCCCCCTCATCCTCTCCTCTGGTGTATTTCGAAGTACCCTATCGAAAAGATCACTTTGGGCGGGTGAGCACACGTCTAACCACCACCCAAATCAGCATGGAGAACAGCTCCAGCGTTTCCCACATGCAGTTCCTCACGCTGCTGCCCATCCGGCCTGGCGACCACTATCTGTTCACCAGTCTTCTTTTCTCGAGGGTTCCATGCAACTGGCACCCGTCCCCTTCTTCCACTCGACACAATGCGTTTGGCGTTTATCTAAGTCATTGCAGGTGTCCGTAGGCCATTTCTTTTCGTTTCTGAGTACGCCTCCATTTAAAGCAGCGGTTCTCAACCAGTGGGTCGCGACCCCTGTGGGGGGTTGAACGACCCTTTCACAGGGGTCACCCGATTCATAACTAGCAAAATGACAGTGATGAAGAAGCAACGAAAATAATGTTATGGCTGGGGGTCACCACGACATGAGGAACTGTATGAAAGGGTTGCGGCATTAGGAAGGTAGAGAACCACTGATGTAAACGATGTAGTCAGTCAGCTTCAAATGGCCTTGTAATCTCACCAGTCCAACTTCCTCCCAGTGTCTGGCACAACGTTGTATCAACAGTAGTTGCTCAGTGTTTGTTCATTGAATGAATGAAATTTGAAACATGTATAAACCAGTTCCTATAAAGCGCTTTTCAGCTCAGGACAACCCCGTGTGTCCCAGAGTAAAACTCTGCTCGAGGGGTGGGTGGTGGGTGTGTGTGTTGTCTCTTGACTCTGATTGTGAACTGGGTGACAGGCTTCAGATGAGTTCAACAATCCATGCACATTTTCTTTCATTTCCTTGATTGCGATCCTGATAAAGGAACATCACTTATTCCACTTCCTCTCTGTGTCTTGTTTCCCATTCTGCCATCTTTCCTAGCCCTTCTAAACTGGGTCCTTAACTAAATGCTGCCTTTCCTATCTTAAATGGGTGATTATTCTAAGGCATCCATACTCCCCGGGTTAGGTTCCCCTTATAGACCTATTATTTGAGTGAAGACTGAGGGGGGGTAGGTCGGGATGGGAGGATGAGTTCTGCTCTCGACCTGACGGGTGACTAAGGGGCATAATGTGTGGGTTCCACCAGTCTCTATCTGACCAAAAAGCCTCGTCTTTTTTTTTATAAGGATTCTGAGCTTTGTTCCTCCCTTTTCTCCCACTCCATCCCTGGCCTTCTAGCATGATCCCTTTCTGAGCAGCTGGAAATGGTAGCCAGGCACCAGCTAGTTCTTGTGGTCTCAGTTCATGGAGACTCATGTTCACGTGATCTGTTAGTTTCTTGTTTAGAGGGATTATTTCCACGTGTCTTTGGTTTTCTTCACTCTCCTTTCCTCCCAACCGGGAGAGGCCAAGAGCTGCACCTTGGGTGACTGTTCACCACCTGTGAAGTCCCAGTCACCACTCATCAGAGGAGGAGGGAGGCAACTCTCTGCGGCCGTCTTTCACGGAGCTGGTAAGGGCTGCTTCCGAAAGTAGATCGCCAGGCCTTTCCTGATGCAGCTCAGCATGGACGCCAAAAATCTTCAACCTTTTGGGGAGCGGTTGTGAGGGTTGGCCCTTTGCACCACCCAGGGAATTCTACAGATATATCGGAAGCGAGATCTCTGGAGACACTGATTAGAGAGAGGGTCAGGCCAAACAAGGAAACACACATAAGCGTGGGATGTGTTCAGAGACAGAGGTGAAACAGGTAGATATGCTTCTCTTGGTCCAACAGGCTGGTTAACAACAACAACAAAGTCATGATGATTCTGAATGCTTGTCACCCACGGAACGTTTCAGGCATTCTTCTGGTGGAATAACACTCCTGTGGGACAATGGAGCAATACCTATCCGAAGTCTTCAAAGGGACAGACCCTTTGATTCAACAACACTGCCCCTGAGAATTCACCTTAGGGAAATCTTCAGTGTGTGTGTGTGGGGGGTGTCTCTAAAGACTCATATACATGCATTTTGTCAGAAAATAAAGATAAGAAATTCAAGAAAAAACTCCATGGCTCGCAACGGCGTATTGGTTAAACTGTATTAGGCTATCCATTTCCTCCTGCACGACTTACTCATGCTACTGCTCAGAGGAAAAAGGCTAAAATCCTAACGCTGGTGTTCAAGGCCCAGCATGGTCTGGGCCCTGCCCACCTGTTCAACTTCATCTTGTTGAAACTCTCCCCATTCACCCCCACGGCTTAAATACACTGGACTTAAATACAAGTTCCTCACACATGTAGTACTCCTTTCTGCCAGAGGGTTGTTAAACAGACTGCCTCCTTCTGCCACAATTCTCCTCAATTCTAACATTTCCCTCCTGATCTTTCAGATCTGTGGTCAAGAGTTACTTCCCCAGAGATGCCTAGCCCCTAGCTTGAACCCCCTCCTAAGGCAAGCTCTTCTGTTACATGCTCTCACCTAGGGAATGAAAGAATGAATGAATGTTTCCTCTAACAGTGAAATACCATGTAGTAGCCTTTCAACAGGACAACGGAGATCTATAATTACTGACCTAGAAAGATATTTTTTCTCCCTCCATGTGTGATTTTTTACATCTCTACATGCATTTTATGCACAGTGGAGGGTGTCTGGAAATCAAATACCAAAATATTGGCATTGGGGGACGGACAACAGAAACCTTGAGGGAACGGAGACAGCGGTGGGTGTAAGATATAAAAATAATAATAATTTATAATTTATCAAGGGGTCATGAGGGAGGGAAGGGGCAGAGAGGGTAAAACAGAGAAGCTGATACCAAGGGCTCAAATAAAAAGTAAATGTTTAGAAAATAATGATGGCAACATATGTACAAATATGCTTGACACACTTGATGTATGGATTATTATAAGAGCTGAAAGAGCCCCCAATAAAATTATCTTAAAAACAACAACAACAACAAAGGAGGCGTAAGTTGGCTGACTCAAAAGATTGCTTGTGTATACCTACCCATAGCTCACTTTTTAAAAACTCCTGGACGTCTCTGTGCAGCCTCTGGATGATGGTCTCACCGAGGGGCAGTTGGTAGATCTGCTGGCTGGGGCTTTCTACGAAGGATTCCCAAGGGAGTCCAGCAATGTCAGAGATGTCTGAGTCTGAGAGCAGAAGAAAAGTAGCAGGTGATGTCTCTGCTCTCGGTAAGGCTGCACGGTTTCGTGGGAGAACCAGGGGCAGCCGGATAGACTGATCCTGTTCTCACCTCTAACGTCTGCTCTGCCTCCACATCTCAGTTTCTCAATTACAGATGTAATGTTCTCCAGAGCCCCCCTAAGCTACAAAAACCCTGAGGACTGAGATGTTGCAGACCTTTATATTTTATCTTTACATTATTATTATTTTTCCCTTTCTGTTTCCTTAAACTTTTTTTTTGTTTAAGGTTTTTGTTGAGTTCCTCAGCTTATGAAGCACAGAAGGAGTGGATGCATAGAGACAATCACTGATATAATGGTTTATGGGGAAGGGGGAGAGTGAGGGAAGTTGGGGAACAAATAATGTGGGATGGAGGAGGGAGCACTAGAACTGATTGTGATGAAGTAGATACATCTCTTCATAAAAATGACTTAAATATGGCAGTACATGACATGTGATTTTTATGTCAAACACATTTTTTTAAATCTCAGTCAGAGACAAGTCTGAATCCTCACTCTCCCATCAAGTTAGTTTGCCTCCTGGAGCCTCAGTTCCTTCTCTGTAAGAGGGAGGAGATGCCTACCTCAAAGGGCGTGGCAGAGAGTAAGTGAGGCACACAACACACTTATCCCCGGGGTGTCAACCAAAACGGGATGGGCTTCCTGGGGGTGAGTCTGGTTCTGGAGTCCCTTACTGGTCCCCCTCCTTCCCCTCAGGCTAGGTTGCAGTAAGTGCTGCAGGTGTCTCCTCCCCAACCTGGGACTCTTAAATGTGCCCACATGCTTAATCAAACGTCCTGGCTCTTCTCTTTCTAGTCCTCCAACCTCGCTGCCTTTCCACCCTATTCCTTAATTTCGGAAATAGAGAATAGGCTACCGAGTTAGTACCGAGGAATTGTCAGTAAGTGCCTACTATTCCTTTGCTCACTGAGAGACAAGGAGTACGCTCTCTCGCTGCCGTCGAGTTGGTGCCGACTCACCACGACCCTCTAGGACAGGGTAGAACTGCCCCTGTGGGTTTCCAAGGCTGTAGCTCTTCACAGGAGGAGAGAGCCCCGTCTTTCCCTCAAGGAGTGGCTGGTGGTTTTACACTGTTGACCTTGTGGATGGTAGCCCAGCACATCACCACTACGCCACTGGGGCTCCTGACAAGGAGTATAGTGACATCGTTGTCTTCTTCATGTATCTTTACCTCCACACCGCCTTATTTCCCTTATTCCTACTGGGGCAATATTTTCATACAGGGGTCCTGGTGTCACAGTGGGTTATTCCTTGGGCTGCTAGCTGAAAGATCAGCAGTTCAAAATCACTGCTCTGTGGGACATAAAGGAGGCTTTCTACTCCCATAAAGAGTTACAATCTCGGAAACACAAGGGGGCAGTGTTACTCTGTCCTGTAGGGTCCCTATGAGTTGACATCAGCTTGAGGATGGTGAGTTTTTGAAGGAGTATTTCACTCTTGACATCTAAAGATGCCTGCCTGTCTACTTTGGGCTCTTTTGTTCTCTTGAATGAGAAGGCTTTCTGCAAATTCCCCCAACCCCCCACCACATTCGTCCCCCCCAGTAAGTGCCGTAACGGAATTGATGCTCCTCCGGCCTGCACATTTCGCCTTCCTCTCCCCACCTCCTTTTGCCTAGCTCACTCCTACTCATCCTTGATGTCTCGGCTTCCTGGATACTCTCTTGGCCAATTTTGACTAAGTATCCTCCCAGCTACGAATGAAGCACTGCCCAGTACACTTACTACACGGAGTTCCAACTGCCAGTTTCTAAGCAGACTGTCCGCTCTGTAGACGGACACTGCCATGTGTCCAGTAGTGCAGGCAGCACTTAGAGCACAGTAACCAAGCCCAAACCAGACTTGCTGCCCTTGAGTTGACTACGACTCAAAATGGAGCCCTGGTGGCATGGCGGGGTGGTTATGTGTTGGGCTGCTAACCTCAAGTCACCAGTTCAAAATCACCTGCCACTCCATGGGAGAAAGATGAGGCTTTCTACTCCTGTAAAGAATTAGAGCCTCAGAAACCCACAGAGGCAGTTCTACCCTGTTATACAGAGTCCCTCTGAGTCGGAATCAATTTGAAGCAGGGTTTTTATTATTCTTATTCTTTGAGATGTGACCCTATATAGGATTTCCAAGGCTGTGAATCTTTATGGGAGCAAACAGCCTCCTATTTTTACCAAGGAGCAGTTGGTGGGTTTGAACTGCTAACTTTGAGGAAGGCCTTTAACACCGTGGCTACAACAATGGGCTCAGACATGGAAACAATTGTGAGGATGGCGCAGGACTGGGCAGTGTTTCTTTCTGTTGTGCCCGGGGTTGCTATGGGTCAGAATCAACTTGACAACCACGTTGGTCTTGCCCACGGTCGTATAGCTAGCACCTGGTGTTCAATAAATGTCTGCAGAATAAATGAAAGATGCTAATTCTGCAGCCCAATCCAGGTCCCACCTTCTGTGTGAAGTCTTTCAACTCTGTTCCTCGAGAATAAAGTATCAGATCTTACTTTGCCAACTATATTCCAAGGTCTCAAAGTCTTTGTCAGAGTCAAGCCAAGTGCTGGTCCTCTAGCAAGTACAAAATCAATACCTCTGAGCTTAACCTAGAGAGATCCTCTACCCTTGTCTACCTCCCACCCCACCCCCTGCTTTCTTTTCATGCTTCCCCCACGGTCACCTGTGAGTTCAAGACTACTTGGGACTTTTTTAACATCCTCTAAGCCGCTCAGCTGCAAATCTACACTTTCTGAGTCATAGTCAGAAGCACAAGGGATCACTACTTCTTCCCG